CCGGGCGGGATGGGGCCTGCGGCCAATGCGGCCGCCTGGTCGCGCAGCAGCCGCACCAGGAAGCCGATGTACTTCATGGCGAGGCGGAGCACCTCGTTCTTGCTCAGCTTCCGGTCTGGCGGGTGGGTCGGTAGCAGCTTCCTGAGCTCAGCGAAGGCGCCGTTGACGTTCTGCTGTCGCCAGCGCTCTCGGCTGTTGGTGAACACGCGCCGGGCCACCTTCTGGGGCTGGTGCCCTGCGGGCGGGCGGGAAGCGCGGGCAGGGTGGGTGCTGAGGCCCAGAGGGTGCTCCCTCCTGCCCTGGCTTCCGGCACCCTGGGGCACTTAAACCCGGGCAGGGGGTTGGGGGCGTCTCCACCCAAGAGTCCCCTAGACAAGGACCATCACAAACCCAGACTCCAGACCTGGGACTCCCTGCACCTTCACAGGGATGGCAGACATTCCCCCAGGAAATGCCTCCTACACGCAGTCGGGAAGCTGGCCCCTGGCCCCCGTTCTCAGTGTCCCCCCCCACTGTGGTCTGCTGTGCTCCTGGATCCAAGACAGTGCTCTTAAAACCACGGCCCTGCTGGGCCCTGTGTGGCTATGTGGTGACCTATCTGATGGCTGTGGTTGTGGCGGTGTGGCTGTTTCACGTGTCGTGGTTCTGTGGCTGACTCTCATGTGGCCATGGTTCTGAGTGGCTGCGGTCCTGGGGCTGTCTCTTTCACGGCTATGCATTCTGCATCGGAGCAGAGCTATCATTTTGTGGCCTCCCTGCCTTGTCCTGGCAGGCTGTGTGTGGGTGTGTGTGTGTGTGTGTGTGTGTGTGTATTTACTCTAGGGCTCAAGGAAGAGAGAGGGAAAGTGAGAAATCACCCCCCAGGGGAGTGACCACGCCACAGTCCCTTCTTCTCCAGCCTCCTCTGAGGATCTTGGGCATGCATGCACACACACCCTGTTACTCAAGCCTCCCCCACCCGGCACCCCCACCCCCACATCAGGGGACTCTAAGCCTGCAGTCAGCCATGGGGATCCAGCCGCCTTAACCCCCATGCCACCCTGGCTGGCCCAGCACCACTCGGTTTTGCCATGGGTGACTTGGTGGCTGGCCAGGGCCTGCGGTTTCCACACGTGGTTATAACCCGGGTGGGCACGTGCTGCTGCAGACGCGTCTCCCTGTGGAGCTGACCGCCCCTTCGGCATACCCGCAAAGCGTGCACCCACACACGCCATCCCGGCCTCACCCTCGGCCAGGTCCAGCTCGCAGTGGCTTGGCCTCCGCTTCAGCCGGCTGCCGGGGAAGATACCGAAAGGTCCTGCTGGCCCGATGTAGACGCTGTAAGGGGTCGGGGGGGTGGGGGACACTGAGGCCTTGTGGGCGAGGCCCCTGGTCCCCAGTGCCCCCCAGCCCTGCCCCGGTTCCCCACTGACCTGTTGAGGAAGGGGTGAGGGTGGGAGTGGAGGGCCAGGGTGGGAGGGGCGGCTCCCAGAGCAGAGAGTTGCAGCACAGGGGGCTTCAGGGTGCTCAGCTCTGGCATGGGCATGGCTGTCCCTGGGGGCCTGGTGTGACCCAGGCTGATCACGGGCACTCCAGGGGGCAGCAGAGGGGGTGAGGAGTGGCGGGGGCCCACCTCTTCCATCTGCAGGGGCCCAGGCGAGGCAGGCCTAGGGGACGGGGCTGGCGCCCGACTGGGAGCACGCACCATCTCCACCTTCTCGGTCATGGTGGGACCCACCTCTGCTTGGGCTTGAGGTGGACACATGGACCCCGAGAGGGGGCGCTCACCTGTGGGAGGGAAGGAAGCCGTGGGGAGCAGGGCCGGGTGCCACGCCCCCACCTGGTTACCTCCCCAGCTCTCCAGTGGACAGAGAGGAGGAGGAAAAGGGTAGGGGCGAGGATTCAGGGGGGGGCCGAGGCACGGTCAGGACATGGGGGCCCACGGACACAGCGCCTGTCTCTGACCAAATGTCCCCCCTTCCAGAATCCCTTCACCTGCAGCCAGCCCAGAGCTGAGAACCCCTACATGCTTCTGGGATTCCCCCCCACTCACACACAAACCTCACCACCACACCGCCCCTGTAATCCTCAGATCTGAAGGTCTAATTCTGAGACACCCCCCCCCGAAATGATTCCTCAATGCCACATTCATCAACGGGGTGTTTGGAATTCCTCCAGGATCAATTCCGACCCTCACTCTCCCCCCCACACACACACCCAATCTGACGCTACAGACCTCAGGTTTGACCCTGAGGGGTCTCTGCCCTTTGTCTCTCTGCCTCTGACCCTAAAAGTGCTCCATCCAGTGACCCCCCCATCTTTGCCGAAAATGTCATCCTCCCCTTGCAAACTCTTTGACCCACTACTCTGACCCCCAAACACTGCCCCCCCGATGCCCAGTCCAGCCCAGTTAGGTCCTGACCCTCCCTCTGGCTCTGGGGTCCCCCTGGCGCCCCACATCAGCATCCACACTGCTCCCAGGTCCTGCATGTTCCTTCTACCCCTAGCTGCATGGCCCCTCTGGGGGTCTCCAGCTAGGCTCTGGGCCCTGGGCCCTGACTCAGTGAATCCCTGCTGAATGAATGAATGAAGGGGTGCAGCTGGGGTGCAAGCCCGGGATACCCCACCTCTCCGGCCTCCCCTCTTACCCCGAGCTGTTCCCGCAGCCTAGTGAGTGCCCGCTCTGGCTCTGGCTCTGGCTTGTCAGCGCTCGCAGTCCCGTCGCCAGGATGCGGTTTCCGGCGACCGGCCAGGCTCCCCGGTCCCGCTGTGGTCTGGCCTCTGCGCTCCAAGCAGCCCTGTCCAGTCCGGCGTCGGGCCGCGCCTCCTCCAGGGCTCCCGAGGGCCGGGGCCGCCGGGGCGGCAGCGTGGGTCCCCCCCCCCAGGGCACCCCCGGCGCAGAGGCCGGAGGATGCTGGGCCGGCGCAGATAAGGGCCTGGCCGCCTGGCCGCGCCTGATAAGGAGCCGGGCTGACCCCGGAGGAAACCGGCGGGCGGGGTATACCGAGCGCGGGCCCCTGGGCCCCGCCCCCGGCCTGCACGGGGCAGGCCTCGGCCGGCAGTCACCCCTCAGGGCCTCGCCTTCCTGCCCCCTAACGCGCTGGAGGGGCCCTGGCTCTCCGGGGACCCCAGCGAGGATGAAGTGCTTGGATGCACGCAGAGGGGAAACTGAGGCAGAGAAGCCCGGCCTCCTGCTTGGGTCTGCCCTTTGTCCTGGCCGATGGGGGTGGGGGACGGTGGCTCTTTCCGGCCTGCTGGGGCCTCGTGACCTGGGGTCCCCCTCCTCCTCCTCACCCTAGTTTGGTTCCTCTTTTTCAGAACCCTCCCCGCCTGGCCACCACCCCTACCAGGAGCGGGGCACCCATAGGGGAAGAGCTGACAGTCTGGTCTTGGGTGTCCAGCCCCAGCCGGCCGGTGTCCTGGACCCTGAGAAGGAAGTGCCACAGCTGTCAGGGATGGAGGGGGCAGGATTTGCTAGGGTGCTAGGGCTGATAGAGCCCCACGGTTCTGGGTTCTGGGTTCTCTTGACCAAAGGATCCTAGGGCCCCAGCTTGGTGGTCTCCCGCCTTGGCCCCTGGAAGCAGGTTGTCCCGGAGGAGCTGGTGAAGCTGCGCACGCTGAAACCTCACGGGGGGAGCTGCCATCGCAGCATGCCCCTCTTCCTACCCACAAGGCCTGTGCACGGGGAGGGGGGCCCTGCTTTGCCAGTGGAGCCCCCAGGCAACCCCTCTCGACATCAAATCCCTCATTCCCAGCAAAGTCTGTGTTATCACCGTTCAGAGATGGAAAATCGGATAGGTGCAACTACAAGGTAGCTAGTTCAACACTAATGCTACCCCTGCAGGAAGGGGGTGAGACCCAGCACCCCACCATCCATTGTTCCACTACCTCCCTGTCCCAAGAAACAAGTGTTAAGGTTGGTTTTTTTTTTTTTTTCAAGGTTTTCACCATAGGGCACGTGTGTGCTCACTGGAGAGGCAGACACGGTGAGAGGGAAAGTGAAAAACAATGCCCCAGGGAGGATGGCCAGCTGCAATCCCTTCTCCTCCATTCTCCATTCTGGGGATTTGGGGCACGTGCACACACACACGCACCCGGTGTGAGTTTCAAGCTACCAGATCTGGGACTTGAACCACCGTCGGCCATGTGGGAGTTCAGTGCCTTAACCATTATGCCACCGGTTAGCCCAGTTTTTTTCTTTTTAAATAATTACTGTAGGGACCAGCAGTTAGCGTAATGGCTATGTCGCTGGACTCTCATGCAGTCGACTGCAGTTTGAATCCCAGAGCCGGTGGCTTAAACTCACACCGGGCGTGTGTGCCCAAGATCCTGAGAGGAGAATGGAGGAGAAGGGATTGCGGTATGGGCATCTCCCTTGGGGGGTTATTTCTCGCTTTGTCTCTCTGTCTCTCTCTCTCTGTCTTTCTGAAGAGTGCACGTGCCCTGTAGCAAAAAAAAAAAAAAAAAA